CCTGATTTCACCAAGATGCCTAACAGTTTGTTGTTAGAATTCTCTTTCAATTTAACATTTGATTCTATTGTACCAGAAGCAGAGTAATAATATACGTAGGTCATTTCAAAAGTGGAGCCCATTGCCCCTCTTCAATATTATGACAAAGTAGCCCAGTGCAGAAAGAAAATGTATTATATGTATATATATATATATATATATATATATATATATATATATATATATATATATATATATATATATATATAATTATAATAATAATAATAATAATAATAATAATAATAATAATAATAATAATAATAACAGTGAAAGCAGTTCATAACAAAGAGTGAGCTTAAGAAGAAGTCACATTTTTAAAGTTTAAAAAATGGAGATCGGACAAGAAAGCACTTGAGGTCGCGAGATATATATTATTATATATCCCAGATACAAGGTTGAGACTGAAAAAAATAACGGGACAGCTCCCCAACGAACCTCGGACTTCACGCGTAAGCCAATTTCGAAACCAATAGTCCCAGGGTGGGGGGACGACACCCCCCCCCCCCCCCGACCAACACTGTACATTAGTAGTGTACATGTAATAAATATCCCAGTGCATTTCCACCTGACAACGTAACTCACCGTCAAGGTCGGACACGACAAACACGGAAATGTCCAGTCTGTTTGTTAGAGTAAAGAGAAGCACATCGACACAATAAAGCTCATTTAGTGCTGAGTAAAAGTAAGACAGACAGTTTTAGTTTTAGTATGAGTTTTACTTCTCTTGCAACACAATAAGGTCATATAAGTGCCGAAGTACAGTAAGCTGTCACCGGAGACCAAAGACGTGGAAGACGAATGGCAAACATTTTTAAAATCCCTATCAGAAATACGGAAAAACAGGTGTGGCACCAAACGAATAGGCGGAAACAAAGACAGAACAATTTGCTGATGGAATGACGAAACCAAAGAAGCAATTAAAATGAAAAGAAGATATTCAAGAAATGGCAGAAGTCAAAGACCGAAGAGGACTATATAGAATACAGCAAAGTGAGAAGAGAGACCAAAAGAATTATCAAAACTGCTAGAGAAAATGCTAAGAAAATATATGGCGAGAAACAGACCAATGTCTGCAAGGAAAACTCTAGAGAGTTTTATAAAAGTGTGAACAGCATGCAGGTAACGAAAGACCCATACAACCCGAAATGAATTATAAACGATAAAGAGGGTAATGCCATTCTCAGCAAGCATGCCATTAAGAAGGAAAAAGATAGGAAAATTACTTCCAAGAACTGCTCAACACAGGCGCTTACATGGACATCAAGAAGAGTTACAACCATCATATGGAGAGCATACAAAACCACCCATACATCTCAGTGAAATTCAAAAGGCACTCAAAACCAGCCCCAAGAACAAAGCCCCAGGACCAGATGACATCGCAGTGGAAGCCATAAGAGCTTGTGGAAACACCGGTGTACTGTGGCTGAGGTGAGTTTTCAATTGAGACTGGGAGCAAAGAAAATTCCCAGATCACTTGCAGAAAGCCACAGTGGTCCCATTATGGAAAAAGAAAGGCAACAAACGCGACTGCAGAACATATAGACAGAGGCATCTCTTTATTAAGCCACGCAGGGAAAAATATACCCAAAGATACTGGAATACCGGATAAGACCTATTGTAGGGAGAAATCTGAGCAAAGCTCAGTTTGGATTCCGAAAGGGAATAGGATGCAATATTCGCATTAAGACAGATATGAGAGAAAACAATCGAACACTAACACAGAATTCAACATCGTCTCTATTGATCAACCCTTTTGACAGAGTAAACCATGCAAAACTCTGGAACACACTCGAAAAGTATGGCGCCTGAGGACAAATGTTAGATAAAGTCAGAGGTCTATATACTAACTGTAGAATCTCAGTAAGAGCGAAAGAAGGCAATACAGACTGGTTCCAAATAAGATCTGGAGTACGACAGGGATGCGTTCTATCTCCCCTCCTGTTTATGATATATTATTATATGGACACAATAACGCAAGGCGCAAACCAAAGCCTAAAAAGCCTAAATGAACTTCTATTCGCAGATGACCAATGTCTTATTTATCCAAACCAACAAAGCCTCCAAAATCACACTACCGAACTGAACAACAGCTGCGAGAAATTTAACATGAAAATAAGCACATCAAAAACAAAAGTTATGAAGTGAGTCGAAACCGTAGTCCCCTGAACATTCATGTCAGTAGTAAACAACTGAATCTGGTGAAGGAGTTTTTAATATCTTGGCAGTACTTTTTCTGAAAACGGATCCATAGACAAAGAAATAGAAATGCGAACTTGAAAAGCCAACGCTGTCACCAACCAGCTCGCACCCCTCCTATCTCATCCAAACATTTCCAAGGACACAAGGGGACAGATTATCATTCCAATATTAATACCAACATTATGATACCAGTGCCAGACCTGGACATTAAGTAAAAACTACCCATGAAAGCAATATCACTGCATGTGAAATTAAATGCCTTCGCAAAACCATTAACATCACAAGACAAGACAGGCAGAGAAATAAAGATGTAAGAGCAGCTATCGGCATTGAGTCCTGCCAGCATTACATAGAAAGACAGAATAAAAATGGTTTGGCCACCTGTTACGTACGTCACCTGACCAGCCTGCCTCGAGAGCCTACAACTCCAAGCACTCGGGTTATAAAGGAAGAGGGAGGCCACGCAAAAGATGGGTCGGGGGAATCAAGGAAACCCTGAGAAATATAATATCACAACTGAAAGAGCTGCGGAGCTAGCTTACCATAGAAAACGTCATCTCCCCTCGACGCGTAACGGCAACAGAGGGTGAAAGAGTAAAAGTAAGTACATGTAAGTGCCAAAGATTAGAGCTGTTACAAGAGAGTAACAAACATGAAAAAAGGAGAGATCAGGACGATAGATGTTTGATAAGTAAGAAGGAGCAAACCACACCAGAGCACCTGCCAACCACCCACTAAGACAGACAGACGGACATACAAACAGACAACAGACAGACAGACAGATGGACGGACAAACGGACGGGCAGTAAAGAAGTACTAGAAGGAAGGTTAAGTCTTTATGAAAATGAAGCCTCAACAAACACATTAAAATTTGGCCAGGGGCAATTCTTACAATCAGAATACCTGTACAAACGTACTTTTTTTAGTAATCGTTTTATGGCACTTGCAACACACTTAGATCATATAAGTGCTGAGGATAAGATGTGTTAGAAGAGAGTAGCACATGCAAAAGAAAAAAGGAAGCGAGATAAGGGCGACAGATGTTTGATAGAAAAGAAGGAGCAAACCACCTCAGAGCACCCACTAACCACCCACACGAACACTTTAAAAAGGTTGAACAACTAAAAAACACAAAAAGCGCTGGTTTAAAAACAGCCGCTGTTTAAAATGAAAGTGTTTTTACATCCCCATCGACACAATCAAATCAGTTAAGAGGCAGGCTCCAGCCCTTCATGCCACTCAGTGTAGGGTCAACCCAGAGCAAAAAGACCGAGATACTCGATAAAAATGTATGTCTGAGGTAGAATTGTCAGGCAATATGTCATTGCTTTCTGAAGGCACAAGCTTGATTCCTGTGTAAGTGTAATGTTAAACTACCTATTACTTACTATCTCTGTCTTTGGTTTTAGTTTTAGTTAAGGTTTTACGGCCCTCGCAACTGCATAAGGTCATATGAGAGCCAGAAGATTAGAGGTGTTAGTGTTACAAGAGAGTAACAAACATTAAAAAAGAAGGGGCAATAATGACGATAGATGCTTGATAGGAAAGAAGAAGCAAACCACACCAGAGCATCCGCCAACCACCCACTATCTCTGTCTGTTGTATCCTACTCAGTGAATATTGGCCCTGACAGGCAAAGTAAAGGCAGCCCACCTCCTAAATGATCTAAACGGTTTTGAAAGAGGCAGAAACATTCACAACATACAGATATGTGCAGGCATGGTGTAGGTGTGGTATTAAATGTGCCTTGGAGTCTTTGTAAAAAGTTCATTGTTGAAGTTGAACACCCAAATCAACACGCTTTAGTTTATTTAGGAGACGGGCTACTCTGACCATATGGCTGCCCCGTGCTAAGACTAAGAAGGATTCAACGTCCAACACAAAGCGAGAGATACTTAATAAAAATTCTTCCCACAAAAGAATCTACATCACGTCTCCTGTGAGAGATCATGGGGAAGCTTGCAACCACTACACCATTATGTATAAGTATAATCCAGTGCGGATCTATTCCCCTCCAAACTCTCCACTCAGCCTCTCCACAACCCTGATACCAAAACAAAACCTGGTGACACCCTCCAAAACAACACAATGCTACTTGTACTTTTTTCATCCTCTGTTGCCTTTAAAAGGTAAAAGCTTTTGAGTGGCATCCGAGGCCTAGTGGTTAGGCTACCTGACTCGTAATCGGGAGGTTGCGGGGTAGGGGGTTCGAGCTGTGGGCCCGACGTTGTGTCCTTGGGAAAGTCACTTTGCACGAATTTTCCTCACTTCACAAAGGTGGAAATGGGTACCCAGCCATAGACAGCGAAAGATCTTGTCAGTATGTTAGTGTTTGAGCGCCTATAAATGGCTGCTTGCACTGTATGCTTCCCAGGAAGTTGAGTTTGCATCAGAATGCTCTCAGGTGTGCTGGGGTAAATAGTATAGATTGTGAAGCGCACAGAGCTTGCTGTTGAGCGGGGATTGGCGCTATACAAATGCTGTCTATTATTATTATCTATTATTAAAAGTGTCGAGGGAACATGCAGTTTTCTACAGAAGGCCATCACTGCAGCTCTTTCAGTAGAGATATAAGTTCTTAGGGTTTCCCCGACATCCTCAATCCATCTTTTGCATGGTCTACCTTCCTTTATATGAGTACTTGGTGGTATAGGTTCTCGAGGCTGGCTGGCCAGGTGACATTCGTAACAGAAGGCCAGACCATTTTATTCTGTTTTTCTATGATCCTATTACTCAACAAAAAGTCAACAAAATACCAGTAATTATTTTCTCTATATATATCTTTATTCACGCCTCAATACAGCTATCAAGGTGACATGACAAGGACAGGATCCACTTATGTACAGACTTGGCTAATCATGGTGAGTGAGACGAGGGATGAACTAGGAGAGGAAAGACATGAACACAATTAAATAATAGAACATTGTTCCGAAAGAGCCAGAAAATCAATGAAAAAAAGAAAATGTTCAATATTCAATAAAATACCCCCCCCCCCCCCCCCAAAAAAAAAAAAAAGACAAGCTCACTTTCAAAGTCAACAGGCTGGGGGGGAAAAAAGACCCAAATGAACAAAAAAAAACCCAAAAAAAAACATTTCTTTGGACCACCTCAAAGTGATTAAGCAGGGTTTTCAATGAACATTTCAAATTAGATTCCCACATTCATTGAGCGAATTTTTTTTATCAGTTTCAGCAAAGTAAAAAATGGAAAAATATTAGTTAGTGTTAAACATACATGATAAGGGCTGATGGAATGACTTAATACGACATATTAAGGGACCCAGATGTCACACACCTGCCTGCCAGAAGGTCCACTGGTCAACGTATCGTCTCTTGTTCAGCATTCTCTTTAAACCAAATAAGACAGATGCCATTACCCCTGAAACTAGACCTGCCAACCACTCCATGACCCCAAAAAAAGGGAAATTTCCTACGGAATCATCCGGTTGAACCCCTTTATCGAGATTACGAAAACCAACCAACCGAGGCAAATAAACGAGCATTGCAAATGCACGAAAATAACAATGTGTATTATCACATAATTTATAATACGTCACAACAAATAAAAAAGTGTATTTTCACACCATTTATAATAGGTCACAACAAATAAAATTGTTTTCGTGTCATTTAGGATAAGCCCCCTGGGACTCGACAGAAACCAAATTTTGTTTTGAAATCAGATTTTATGCAAATGAGATCAGAGTTCTTTGACAGGGGAAGAAAAAAATCGGACAGTTATCAGAGCGCTTAGCCTGTCTGCTAAAACACAGCAGAATTGTTTTCCGTTCTTGGAACAGGCAGATCTGATGAGCACAGTAAGACACAAGATAACTGCAATGGGTATGTCCTTTCAGTAAAGTCAAGCAGTGGCTCCGGACATAAAACACTTTCACTGTCATCATTGCAAACAAAGGGTTGTTCTCACAGTATGCAACAGACCCCACTACATCTCTTCTCCCACTGCAGTGGGTCCCACGTTCCGTCAGAATACCGACATACAATAAAACAACATATTTCTTAACTTCAGTTACAGATCCAAGACAAGCTTCAAACAATCCCAAACTAGATTAAATCTTAAGTCTAGAAGTAATTACATAAAATCTAGAAGAAGCATCTTTTAGTGAGTTGTCAACACATGTGGGTCCTGTGACATAACCGGCATTTTGTGAGTATTGGTATTTATTTCATTAGAAAGAGTTCACATAAGCTAATACATATTGGGTAGTGCTGACGACGGGCACCATGAACAATTCAATTTAAGAAAATATGCGCGTAGTGAGCAAGCATTTCCCCCGCACTCCCCCACAGACTGCATTGACCACAAAATTGGCTCTTTGTCTTGCTCCATAACAATCTGTTCACGGGAAGATACCTTTTCCACTGAGCCACTTTGCATAACATACAATATAACACGATACCTACACTAGTGTTAATCTCTCTCCATTTGAAAGTTGTCTCTTCCATTGAAAACCTCTTCAAACCTCCTCTCTCTTCCCCTTGTGATAAAGGTTTGACACATGTCCCTTCAGAGCACAGCGGCTCTGAGAAGGGAATGAACTGGTGTAAGCCTACACCTTACACTTTTGACACAGATCATCTGTTTCCAGTAGCGAAAAAACCCCACCAAAATAATAGAAATAAAACTCTGCATGTTCAGAGTGCAGCATCCTCATCCTCTACACCAAAGGTCACCCCATGCAGTGGGGTTCTTATACAGCTCATACAGAGCAAATGCTTGTGCTAGAAGCAATAGACTGATCGTGAAACACTTTAATTAAAGCATTGCAGGAGTAAAGTTAAAACATAGCATAACAAGTGCACATATATAATTAATTAGTCCCCATGTTGCTGTCTTTCTCCAAAAGACGTTGGTCAAAAATAAAGATGAGAAAATAAAAGGCAAACCACACCTAACAAAGTTCAATCCTCACTCGAGATTGTGGAATAACCGTCAGCGAATTCCTGTGCAAAATGTCCACATCTCGTAATCATGGCAATCAGATCTGAGACAATATTAATTGACAATCTAAACTTCAATAAAAACTGGGCAAAATGAAACATTAGAATTCTGATACATTCACCACATAAAAGGAAAGAAAATTGAAATATAAAAAGAAGCAAATTCCCTCTTGACAATCACAAAAAAAAAATCTCAAGTCTCAAAAGATGACCCAATACCAAAGACATAAAAAAGAAATCGCGGACAGATCAAGATGCAAAATGTACTTCCTCAGTCAAAAACCTCCTGATGACTTTTTCAAAAGCAAGAAACTCTACAGTTCCAGCACGTCATTGTATAAAAAGCATAGTTTGGTAAGAATGATACATTTCTGATGTAACAACCGTCAGCAATGTAAACACCACAAACAAAATTTCATGATATTTAGCGCACATAAGAAACGGGAAACTAGTACATGGCATGTAAAAGTAGTACACTCATCACCTCGCTTGTTCCATCTTTGCCTTGCAGAAACAAATTCTTTTTTTTTTTAATTTCAAATTGAGGATTTTTGCTCTTGAGGAGGAGAGTAGCTGTTGCGTTTTACCAGACACAGAATTGCAAATCCCAAGTCAGAGTTAGCTTGAGCTCATTCTTTACTAAGTGGGCCACTGGAGCCTCAAAGGAGTACTCCAGCAATGTGTTGTTAGTTTGCTCCAACCTAGTTTTACCTCCAAGAAAATTTTACAGCTTACAATTCATAAGAGTGTCTATTGTCACAAAAAAAGGGTCAAGGGTAATACTTGTGTACTTGTTGCTCCATTCTCTTCACGGTTGAATACCAGCACAAATTTCGCTAGGTATATATAGAGTTGCCAGGTGTGGACTGTAGGTAAAGAGAAGCCTTTTGCACATAAATAGTCTTTATATCTCTCCACTCTATCTACAAAACAGCTTTTTTCACCCATCTGCTAAGTTTAATTCAATTTTCACCTACTACTACTACTACAATGTAAGCTACCAGTACAAAAGTATGCAATATAAATGTGTGAAAAAATGTTCAGACATGTATTGACATACATAAAAAGTATACATTTAGTAATTTGCACCCCATTACTTTCGGTTGTCAGTCTCTCTCTCTCTCTCTACAATCAATGCAACTTGATGTAGCGCCAGCAGTGCATTTGCACTTTACTTCACACATAACGGGGGGGGGGGGGGGGGGGGGGGGGACAAAAAGAATATATAACAGTAACTTGACTAAAAGAAAATAATAGATACAAATTCCAAATCTTCATTAAAAACAAATGGAATTACACATGATTACACATTTTGAAGGAAAAATTGCAGTGAAAAGGAAAAATTAAAATAGCTGATGTATCAAGAATGCTTATGTCATCACCTTCAAGTAGATATTCTTAGCATAAACATAAAATTCTGCAATGAAAGATTTAAAACTTTAGAAAGCACAAGCTAGAGGTAAGATCAAACCATACCTCATCATATATTTCTATTTAAAAATGAAGCAAATAAAACTTCGTAAAATACAAAAGCAGAAAGAAGAATCCATACTTGTTCCTCGTGTTATCAGGAAGGTGTGAAACCTCTTCCATAATTTATCATAGCACAGCTTCTGTCATTGGTCACACAAAGGCTGTCTCTAAATCTCCTCGTTCTCAAATTCTTAGTCGCCCTACAAGTTCTAAGTCTTTCTCACAACTCCATCCCTGACTACCCTTTCCTTCCTTCCTCTGTGCTTAGCTCAAAAAGACTTACAGTACTTGTTTGGTGCAAAAGTTTCTGCTTTCAACGACGTCAAGAAGAGAAAATAGAAACTCCAAATCATTCTCAGGTAACAGATCTTTCGAAATACTGAGCTGAACTAGAACCCCTAATGAAATAACATACTTAAAAAGTATTCAAATTACTATTTGTAGTTGGTGTTCTAGCCTCTTTCTGTTCACGAACAAGAGTGAAAACATGTCAAATGAAACAATAATCTAAGTTATAACTGCTTATAAGTTTATTCTTCTTTATACTGGCTAGTCTTTTAACATGAGAAATGTGAATGTCCTACCACAATCCTACCATGAGAAAAAAAAGAAACAAAGGGTAGTTCAGAGAGGAGAAAGAGACATCTCTTTGTCGTGACACCACCTAGTGGCGGTGGAAAGCCCAGTGGTCCTCCCCTTCCTCCTGCAGGAGACTCTGCACAACGCACTCTAGGTCCCCGTCAAACTTGATCAGCAATTGCCGGTTTTTCTCGCGGTTGGCGAAACCCATCTCGATGAGCCGCTGCATTCCTTGGATCTCTCTCCGCAGAGCTGAGTCTGCAATGGTGAGCGACGCGATCGGGGAGGACTGCAGCGACACAGGGGGCGATGATGACGTCAGAGAGGAAGCCGAGTTTCTCTTCACAGCCGGCTCTTCCCCACAGCTTTTGACCGCGGCGTCATCAGCCACATCCGAGTTGTTGGCGGTTGGCTCATCCACAGAGCTCCTGGCTTCAGCCTCAGTACTCCCCCCATTTGCTACGGCACTTTCCTGCCTCTCAGACCCGTCTACTACACTAGGAATGGCTGACGGAGAAGTGGCCCCGCATAACTCTGCTGGATCGCAGTCCGATCCGACGGAAAACCACTCATACTGCTGTGGCGCCCAGTCCACCTGGGGCGGTTTCCAGGAGGATTTTTGTGGCTTCCAAGCGGACTGAGGCGGTTTCCAACTGGACTGAGGCGGCCTCCAAGTGGACGGAGGTGGCTTCCAAGTGGATGCTGGAGGTTTCCAAGTGGACTCTGTTGGCGGCATCCAGTCTTCAGGGGGTGTCCAAATCGATTCCTTGGGCACCCAGCCTCCTGGTGGGACCGCATGTGGTACAGCTCCAGCATTTGTCAGAGCTTTATACGCCTCGCTGTCACCTCTCACTTTCACAATTATGGGTCGTTTTGGATCTAGAGCTGCATCTTTTTTTTCACTCTGACCCTGCATCTTCCTTTCATTCTGTTAAAAAAAAGAAGTAAAAAATCTTTGTTGGGACATCCAGCGCTTTTCTACTTTGAACTCTTTCTACCACCCATTGGTCCACAAGACATGACCACATCAGAAAACCAATCCAAGAATAAGAAAGAAACATCACATAATTTTTCTACGAGAGCATCTCTTGTGACTTCGACATGAAGTTTAAGTAATGACCTATATCACCGGTGCTCTGATGGAACCTCACGAACTCGAATTTTAGTGTAAATCATTTTTTGGCCAAAAAAAATTCCTGATAGCTAGATACATGTGTATAAATATTAAATTCAGATTCAAACTACAAAAGCGGGAAAGTGCAATTAAAATTCTACTTGAACCTCACTATCCCCCATAGCGACATAAGTGATCCGTCAAACCTCTCTGACACAATATAGCATGGTTTCATCAAAGCACCAATCGATCTTCACAGGTAAGTGAACCACACTATCTTCCTCCACATGGTTAGAAAGTGAAGACGAAAGCAGACGACAGAACATGGTTTGGAGAGCAGGAAAGGAGGGGAAAGGAGAAAATTTTGGAGAAGAAAATTGTCCATCGCATTCCAGTTTAGAACCCGAGACCTATTGAACGAGAGGCAAACACCGTAACCCCTAGACCACGAGAGCCTCCACCAAATATGATTGCTTTCACTCAGTGCTTACAAAAGTAAAAGCACTGCTTACTTTTGGACAATTTTTAATGTTTTATGTACACATCCAAGCAAAACAACATCAGAAATAGATCCCTCATACAATTTTCCTTCAGAATTTATCAAAATAAATTTTCTGATATTTTATCACCAGACCAGGGTATCTTTCTGTCTTTTCCACAGATTGCTTTGACCAACTCAATTCTTTTCTTCAACACCAAGATGTCAATCCTTTCTAGAACAGATCCCTCTGGGTCCTAATTCCAAAATTCCAAAACTCTTAGACTTCTCAAAAAAGAAAAAGACGAGCTATTTCAAAGAATTCAGAGACAGGAGCAATCTTAGTCTCCCTCTCTAAACAAAGCATGGATTTCAGGTTTGGCAAAGCAAACCATTTCATAGACAGGAGCAATTATATTCCCACAACAAAACACTGATTTCTATTGCGTGAGGACAAACCACATAAAAGAATTCAGAGTCAGAAGGAGCCCTCACCTGCTTGGCCTGCAGCGAGTAGAAGACATCCTTGGCGGTAGAGAAGGCTGTTGACGCCGCTTTGGAGACTCCTGAAGCCACATTCTGGATAATGACGCTCGCTGGTCCCGCTGGTTCTGGGGCGCTGGAGAGAGGAAAAGTTTTATTTTTAGTAAGTGTTTTACGGCACTTGCAAAACATATAAGGTTACATAAGCGCCGAAGATTAGAGGTTTACAAGGGAGTAACAAATACAAAAAAGAAGGTGGGGAGATAAAAGACGACAGATGTTTGATAGGAAAAAAGAAGCAAACCACACCAGAGCACCCGCCAACTACCCACGAAGAAAGTTTGAGGCAAACACAAGCATGTTGCCAAAACAGAAGGGTTGTTAGAAAAAAAAAAAGTGACATTTTGTAACTAAGCTCAGTCCCTCTGCTCATGATGCAAAGTTGTGAGAGAAAAGGTGACGACCGAGAGGTGTAATACACCAACAGCTTTTGTCAGACATTCAATGTTTTCTTGCCATTGCACTACAAGACTTGCTCTCCCCAAACATTCAATTTTTTTTTTACTAAGCTGTACTGCTTTGTTGACCCTTCAAGGATGTAGCAAACACGTATTCTGATAAGCAGCAGACCAGTGGCAATGTTGCAGCACACTTCAAACCATCATACACAAATCAGAAACATGAACTTGCATATTTCAGGGTATACAGATTGTTGCCCGCCCCTTTGTTTTCAAAGGAAAAAAATAGAACTGCAAATTCTTTATGAATAACAAAACCATGCTAATATTCTCAGGTGCCCCAAAACAGAGCGTCTTCAAAAATCACCCTAACGATCACAATGGACGTCTTTGTTATCATGTTGCCAGCATATGTGTCAGTGAGAGGGGAACACACATGCACATTGGGATTGACGTAACAAGACAGAAAAATTGGGTGCAAGAGATAAGTACACTCGTGTGAAAGTCTTCGTGTGGAGTTGAGATATAAAACAAAGGGAAACAAAAGAGCAGAGCAAAAGTAAGGAAGGTGAGACCTTACAAAGATGAAGCACACGTCTTAATTAGACTGATCAGTATGAAGTCTTGAAATACTCCAGCAAGAATTTTTGGAAAACAGGGACCCGGGGCCAAAAAATACTCCTGGCCCAAAGAGTTAACCTATCAACTAAACTGAATATACGAGTTTGCACAAAACCAAATAAAGTAATCCATATGAAATTCCAATGAGAATTTAAAAAATTTTCCTTGAGCGCACTCTACAATATGCACACAAATAATGAAAAATGTAGTCCTGAGCAAGATTTTAAACTTTCATGCAAGCAATCAGAATCCGCTAAGAGCAGTTCAAAATAGGCAGTTTTTATGCCCACATGCTGTCAAAAGTAGTACTATTCCTTTAACTCACTCAAACCCAGGCCTACACTTCCGGTTGTCAACTCTTCCTACAGATTTTTACCACTTTTTGAAAAATTGAAAAAAATACTAAATTTTAAAATATCCTACCCAAATTTGGGACACATTTTATTAAAAGCTTTACTTGTGTGTATTGAACATTTCAAGACAAAATATGTCATGGTTTTTATGCAATACTCCGAGGAAAGAGGTCTATATTCAGAGTCAAAAAGTAAACAAAAATCAAAGAAAGGAAGTACGTTCAAATTTCGCACCCCATCACATGGTTCATGAATATAGCTTTTTTTGCTCTAAATTTGAGCTTGCACTTCTCGTAGGGTCATAGTCTGTCTTGACTGAAAAATGGTTACTCTTCCAATTAGACTACAATCTGCTTCACACAAAAGTAGTGTTTTTGGTCACGAGAGCGAAATTTTCCATACCGGTACTGTCGACGTTAGGGTTGGAGCATTGCCCGTGCATATCAATATTATCGGCGTTAGGGCCGGGTGAGTTAATGATTCATCCCCTAACTACACTCTTTTTTTAAAAAGGGCAAATAGGGAAGAAACCACATTTTACATCAAAATGATTTTAAAAATCCCAAGGACCCAGTGACTTACGTCTGGCAATCAACATCCCGCACAGTCGTCACAGAGGTCACTGAACTCGAATCGGTCTTCTCCGACTGTCCACTGCTTGAAGCCACTGACGTCTGCCGTGAAACGCTGCCGCTGACAGCAGCTGGGTTCTGCTCCTCCAATTCAGCATCATCTGACAAAGAGCTACCTGCAATCTGCTGTCGGATCCTCTCCTCCAACATTCTGGTGGTGTCTATGTACTTCTGGCGGTCAAGCTCCCGGAGGCGACGCTCAATGTCGGCCACGGCCTCGTGGTCACCGGCGTCCAATGCGGCAAATTTCTGAACCTCGAGCTCCAACATCTGATTCAGGTGGTGATTCCTGCGAAACAAAAAGACAAAGCAGCAATGAGAATGTCTTATAACACTTTGTCCCCAGCAACAACAACAAAAAAAAGAAATGACAACACTGAAGAATATCGAAAATAATTTTGTCAGACAGCCCAATCCCATTCCTATCTGATAGGCACCAGTGGCTAGTTGTCCAAACAATACAAGTAATATTTTCTAGGATAATGTTTCTGCACAGCAGCAGAAAATATAACAAAGACATAAAATTAATAATTTTAATAAAATAACATAAACGATAACAATAATCATTAAAAAAATAATAACAGTAATAATAATAAGAGTAACAATCCTGTCTTCTCATACAGAGCTTCAACCCAACAAATCTTGGTACTTCACATTTTCTAAACAAAACGAATAATTGCAAAGTACAGCACATTGCACACAAATAGCCATACATATATTAGTGCAAGCACGCATCCATTGTTCTGTCAAAGGTATTCAATATAATCACACAAGACTGATCTACAAAACTGAAAATATTTATTCTAATTGTAGTTCTGAAACAAAAGGCATCTGCAAGAAATCTACAATAATCAAATTTTTGCACAGGAAGTTACAAAAGAAACTAAGGAAGTGCCTAAACATGATAAAAGGGAAAAAAAGAACCAAGTTACATAATAAGTCTCTCTCTCTCTCTTAACTTATACCGGAGAAGTAGAATGGTACAGACTGCCTATGGACCTCATAATGCTCTTCAACAATAAGAAGCACAATAAAAGCAGACCTAAAAATATACTACAACACATCAGTATCTGTGCAAAAAAGGTTGGTCTCTTCCCCTCGTACACAAAGGAATCCTATGTGGGGTAGACACATCTCCATCTTTCTGCAGGAATGTATCCCAAACAACCCACGCTGGCCTGACAGGCAGATTCAAAGACGCCTGTCTGATACATGATCTACAACTTGTTGATAGAGGAAAAGTTTGGTTTTAGTAAGTTTTTCGGCACTTGCAACACAATTAGGTTATATTAGTGCCGACGATTAGAGGTGTTACACGACAGTAACATACAGAGAAAAAAGAGAAGAAATAATGATGATAGATGTTTGATAGGAAAGAAGGAGTAGAGCACACCAGAACATCCCTCCAACCCACCCACATAGAGAAAAAAACGAACACACATATACACGAACCCATATATGACAACAAACATTCACTGCACCACTCACCTGCAGACAGCTGGATTCCCCTTGACCCTCTTCAGGACATAACTCTTCTGCTCCTCCGGGCCCAGCGCTCTGAACGCATTCTTTGCCATTGGCTCCTTCTCTTCCTGCTTCTGCACCTGTGCCTTCTCACTTCCAGCCTTGACCTGTTCGGCCCCGGCCCCGGCCACGACTCCGTTTTCCTCCAGCTGCTTGTTCACCAGGGACGCCTGCATGGCCTTCACCTCCAGAATCTCCTTGTAGTCCTCCTCTCTCAACATTTGCATCCTCTTCCTCTGGAGCAGCTTCCTTTCCCTCAGCCTCTCTCTCTCCCTTGTCTTCAATTTCTTCGACCTGTCCTCTTCTAACCTTTCCTCAATCACCTCCCGCTTCTCCTGCCCCATTTGTTTCTCCTCCTCTGTCTGTTTCTCCTTGTCCAGTTCAGTCCGCAGCATTTGTTGGTACAGCTTCTTCTCTTCTTCCGTAAGGCTATGAACCAGCTCAGCAAAGCGCATGTCAGAACTATACTCCGGACTCTCAAATGCCTCCTGTATCAGTTTCATCCGAATTTCATCATTTTCCTCATCAGTGTCTTCCTCCTCCTCAATGTCTTCCACCTCCTCGTTGTTGTTCTGCTCCTCATTGTTATTCTCATCCTCTCCCCTGGAAACGACCTCCACCAATTCCTCCCCCACTCCCTGCTGCTGTTGCTCCTCGGCATTGCCTGGAGTCTTCGCCTCATCTGTCGTGTCAACCACCTCCGCAGAGTCCTCGCAGACCTTCTCTTTCTCCTCTTCCACACTAGGGACACTTGTCCCAGCCTCTTTCTCAGCAGCCATCATCAGCTCCTCTGCTTCATCCTGTAACGTGGGAAAAGAAAAAGGACAAATGTACTTCCTATACTTGCGAAAGATATTTCAGAGAAAAACTACCACATCATGAAACCTATATTCAAATCAGTTAACATTAGAGCTAAAACTAAAACTTGTCCAATTGTCCTGTCATTCCCTTTGCTATATCGCATTTCAATTGACCACTAACATGGCATCATCAAAAATTTCTTACACTTTGCTTTTACACACAATTTTCAACAATGTGGCGACTCATAAATTACCTTCACTATCTCTTCATAATCTTCATGCGCAGGCGGAGTCAGGATGCAAAATTCTTCACTGTCATCAGAATGGAAGTACTCATAGGAACTCCCACTGACAAAAGAGTGAGCATCATCGTCGTCATCATCCCAATGGCCGGCAGAACTCGCTACTTGTCCCTTCATGGAATCCACGTCGTTATCAACCTTGGGCTCATCTAGAAAGGAGGAATAACAGAAAAACAAACCATTAGTGAATATGGAAAGTTTGTTTTTTGATTTAGTAAGAGTGTTACAGCACTTGCAAACACAATTAGGAAATGCTGAGGATTAAAGGTGTTAAAAGAGAGCAACAAACACAAAAAAGGAGGAGAGATAGGGACAGTAGATGATTAATAAGGAAGAAGGAGCAAACCACAACAATCACCCACAATAAGGTAAGCAGAACCCCATTGTAACAACAGATTAAAATCAGTACAACCAAATCACTCAAAGATAATAAATACGTGAAGATTATGCTCACGTTGACATAACTTAGATAATTTAAACAGGCTGTTTTGATCCTGTCTTCGAGGGACAACCCAAGCTGAGAAAGATACAGCAAACTGGCAGAAAGATAGACACTTGATAATATAACTTTCCCTAGAGTTTTACGGCACTTGCAACACAAATAGGTCATATAAAAGCCAAAGATTGGAGATGGTAATATGCAAATAAAAGGATGAGGAAAAAGAGAGAGACAAGGACAAAGAACTGCACACACACTACTTCTACATCATGTACATCTACAATATCAGCCACTCAAAAGATTATTTTAAAAATCTTGAAGCAACCAAATCTGTCAAAGACAATTCTTATGGTTTTATAATTTCCTAACCTTTCAGGATTGCAACTAAGAAAAAAAAACGTTAGTTTTAGTAAGAGTTTTACGGCACTTGCAACACAATAAAGTCATATAAGTGCCAAAAAATAGACGTTACAGGACAGTATCGTACTAAAAAAATAGGAGGAGAGATAAGGACGACAGGTGTTTGATAGGAAAGAGGGAGCAAACCACACCAGAGCACCCACCAACAACCAACGAAAAGTGATATCAACATCAACTTCATAACAGAAGAAACAAAGCAGTGCCTGTGTTGAAATAAAGAGCCCGACACATTTTATCTTAGCAAATCTGAAATTTCCACACAGCTATTTCTTAGGTAGAAACAGTAACCCTAAAAAAACAATGGACATGAATTGGTCACCTGCTCTTAAGGCCAACAGCCACCATCAAAAGGCAAACTCAAAGCTAGTATCCGCAACGAAAAAGAAAGAGAGACCAACTAAAGAACACATTGCGGCAAGAGATGGAATGGGAAACAAAGGGGTTGTGGCGTATTGTCATAGTGTTGCCATGTATAGTCTAACTCTTCTTTTTTTTTCTTTTTTTCTTCTCATTTCTAAGATAAACGTGAACGTCTGATTTGTTGATTCATAATATACTTTATCAGAAAAAATGGAAATGTCTACAAAGGATAACTGCCCGCCACTTTAAAAAAATTTGAATACCAAATAATCCACTATGAAGAGGGGAATTAAAAAATAGTTACATTCCATAATAATGGCTCAAGTCTGACTTACAACATAATGGCAGCACCGCGACGATATTTGAGGACAGATGGAGAAATTGAACCTGAAGCCATGCATGGAGAGCTCTTGTCAGCTGCCTATGCCCCGGGTGGGGCCACATGCCTATGTAAGCATTTCCTAGAAAGTTATAGTAAACAACGGTATCCACAAACCTGTCAAGTTAGGCAGCAGTGGCAGTTTTTGCTCCACCTCCTCAGACTCGGTCTCCTCCTGACCGTTGCCCTCTGAAGGAAGGGAGACCACATTGACAACAAGTTCAGAGCGGGCAGGAGTTTCAGAAATAATGACGGGCAGGGGTGGTGATAGACGAACAATGCTGCTTCCAGAAGAGTCACTCGCTAACCGTTTCCTCTGGACTGTAAAACAAATGAAAAGGTAATAACAATATATAAAGGTGATGACAAAACGAGAAGGTAATGCACGGGTCTCAACTCAGAATTTTTAAAAAGGGGGAACTTTCCGGGTGATCGCGACAGCAGCCCATTTATGCAAGACACCCATTATTATTTTACTTTTGAACCCTAAAATGCTGAAAGAAAAACCATCAATTTATCAAAGCAAGATTACTTCAAACCAATTTGAGGGTTGGGAAGATAATTTCAAGTAAGATTCACATACCAAATATTTACAATCTTGATTATGTACAGAAAGTGGTGGCACACTGGGATCTTTTGCGACTTATTCATATTTTCCCTTCATCATATTCGTCTGCATATATATAAACTATATAAAAATGCATCTTGTCTTGAGCCTGAGAAGAGGCCTAGACCAGAATATCGACTGTCATGAACCAGTCTGGTGTCATGACTTATATCATATATAATAAATGTGAAAGACAAAAGTTATTGCTCAAACTAAGAATAGAGTTATAACTTGAACAGCTCAAGTAGACCTATTCAGTGTGAGGGGTGTAAGAACTGTGGGAGGGCAAGATGCAGTGAAACTGAAAATGTGCGAATCCTGAACAGAAAGCTAAAATATAGAGATATAATTTACTGTCACCCATCCAATGAAACGAGAACACTTAGGCCCCTAAGTTCAGAACACGCTTACAAGTTGTGATGGATCATGATTCCACACAAGTGTATACACCAACGCGCACTTTACTTTGTAGAGAGTTGTGGTAGTAATCAAAATTCTAAATATTAAAAATATGCTTCCAATTTCAGTTTTTTGTCCTCTGGTGTTGCATCCAGCCCTCCCCTCTCCCCGAGTGTATCTTTTTAAAAAATCAAAAATCTCCCCCATTTATAAATAAGAATGCAACTGAGTGGCTAGTACTGCCTCACACAGAAGGTATTTACAAAGGGCAAGAGCATTTAACATAAGGGTGTGAGCATCTCAAGTTTCAGATGGAAATAAAATATCAAACTGTCAACATTCCGGTCTTCACAAATATAGCCTTGTTAACAATGGGAGATCACAACTGCAAAATAATCTATCCAGAAAGAAATGAAAAGCAAAACTGTATACAAACTCAAATTTGACTCCAAGTAACATGCTGCTTCTCACAGGTAATGTGTTCCCTCAATAAAACCAACAAAAATACAGTTTAGACCTACTTCAACAGTACATTCGTTTGGTCAAAACGAAAAGATAACTTGGGGACTCCTGTGTTGTTGTTTTTCTCACCCCTGATACTAGAATTTAGAACCTACTCTCTTGGGACAAGAAAGAACAAAACGAGATCTTGTGCATAAAAACCCAACTAAAAGCACTTTCTCTACACATTTAAAAACAAAAGAGTTTTCTCACTTACTGGGGCAAAAATCAGGATCATCCCCATCTACAGCCTCAGTGGACAGCGTTCTGCGGCGAGTACAATCATTGATCATCTGAAAGCCAATAGAAAAGAGGAATGCAAAAAGACATTTTAAAAAACCGCCAAACAAAAACCCAAAAAACTTTGCCAGTAAGGGGTTTTTTTGTTAGTTCTTTCTTCATGACAATCCCCTTTTCCGTTAAATTATGACATCATACTTTCTATTTAAATATCTGGCAAAAAAATAGAGCGAGAGCTCATCGGTTCACAACCTCGTATCTTTTAACAGCTAACTACTACAACACATGCAAGTGAGACACCAGTATCAATACGGGTGGGGGTGGGGGGAGAAGCAGTGAACAGCAGCCCACTTAACAACTAGCCCATATATAGGAATAACACAGGGTCAGGACATCCGGTTGTGGCAGTATGACATACCCCTTCTACTGCCTCTATCATGCCTGTCTTCTCTCTCTCTTGCCACACATCAAACACTTCTTGCCCATCTGCAGGTGAAGAAATCTGAAAAATAAAAACAAACAAAAAATTGAAAAGAAGATAAACAAAACTGCTCTTCAGGATAACAAGATAGTTTTTTTTTCAACTCTGTGCCAATTAGATAAAGATAATGCACAAACAGTTAATTTTTAGTTAACATCTTTGACATCTGAACAACATGTGAGGCAGCGTGGTGAAATCAGATGATCGTCAAAATAATTAAAAGAAGTAAACCAGCATTTTTCTGGTCGTTGGGCAATTTTTAATTTTTTTTAGTTTTTGGGCTTCTATGTCCAGTGAAAATCTCATTTCTCTAAGGATTGTACTAAAAAAAATCATTGATCAAAAGAACAAAAAATGTAAATTTCCCGTTTCCAATGACACCCAAGCTTAGAAGTCCCCAAACTTCGGCCACCATTTTCTTGCTTAATTTACCTCTGTCATAAGGCAATTCCCACCTACTCCAATAACAAATATAGCGATTTCTATTCAAAATACATCAGTATTTTTTTCGCCAAAAGCAAGGCAAATGAACAGGCTTTAAGAATATATCAATATTTCCAAATGCCCAAAAATTGACAAACGTCCAATTCCACAGTGTCATGGCAAAAATAGTCAACTTGAGTGTGAAAAATAAAACTATTGTGCAGATTATAAATCTACCACAATGAAGAGCAGAAACATTCATATATATGGATATTATTTGACCACAACAATTTGAAATAGTTCATACCCAGACTCAAACTCAACTGACATCTTGGATCAAATGGTGAGGTAAAATAAAAATTACAGAATGCAAAATCTTGCTGCTGGTTAAAACTTTATCCCAACAAACTGGACACTCTACCAACAGGTAAAATTGTCTTATTCAAAGTTTGGGTTTAGTAAGAGTTTTACGGCACTCGCAACACAATAACGTCATATAAGTGCCGAAGATTAGAGGTGTTACAAGAGTGTAACAAACATAAAATAAAAGGAAGAGCGATAAGGATGATAGATGTTTGATAGGAAAGAAGGAGCAAACCGCTCCAGAGCACCCGCCAACCATCCATATTCAAAGTTCAAAAACAGCTTCCTTTGAAAACCTTAACTACAGCAGATACAGTTAAAAGTCCCGCAAGGGTACAACATACTGAGATTTTACAACTAAAAAAAAGGAACTGCCTTGAAGGAACATATCAAATGTATTACAATATCATTATAAGCCTAAACTCACATTGAGAGGAAAACTTTCATAGGGTGTGGCCCACTGGGCGGGCCTCTCTCTCTGCTTCTCCTCTAGATCAGGGCTCAGAGTCTCCAAAGCTTTCACTACATCGTCTCTGCAAGTGGGTATCAAGAAAAACATTATTTCAGTATAATTTCTAGGAATGTGTGTATGTACAACAAATATTGAAAGTTTCAAAAAAGAGAATATAAAATGGTCATTGGAAGCCAAAAAAGGACCCCCCCCAGCAAGACAGACAGACAGACACTACAGTGGTAAGGAAACAAATAAACAAATACTTGAAAAAGATAAGGGTGGATCCTATCAGTACTTTAAAGTATACAGAATTTTTTTAGAGCATTATGCGCTACTAATAAAAGTTAACATTTGAAAAAAAATGGCAATTTGTAATTCTATTAAAACAATAAGACCATTACACAAATTCAAACACTAAAATGAAAACTTCTTGCTCTTGTATAGCACTGAATGGCTCAACACTCACAGATTTTTCTTGGCAATGCTGTTGCCTTTTTCCTCTGCAGCCAACCTCTTCCTTTCTTTCTTTTCTCTCTTCCTCTCTTCCTTTTCTTTCTTCCTTTCATCTTTGGCTTTCATCTTCTCCTCTTTCTCCTTCCGTTTCTCTTCCCAATCCCTCTCTGCCTCATAGATGTTCTCCCTTAGAAGAGGCAGCCTCTCTTTGCCAACACAGCCTGCTTTGCGAGCAGGTTTCCGCAACTTCAAGAACACATGGGTTGGGTCATGAACAAACTCGCTGTTTTCACACTTTTCACAAAGGTCAAAGTCAGCACAGTTCCTGGGGAAAAAAGAAACGTTTTTTGCCAATCACAAAATGAACTTGATCCCTACACTCTTTTCTGTATTGTGCAATTTGTATGAGAGATAGTTAGACCTACAGCTAATGCCGACCTGCAATAAGAGGGGCGGAGGGATGGTGTCGGTTGTCAAAGCCGTAACTATTTCCATGTTATGCACTGATATACCATTGACTTTCTGTACATCATATGACCATATGCTGATAAATTAGGACACATAAGAAGCGAAAAGTTCTCAAACCCAATTCATATTGCAAGGACTCCCAACTTAGGACCGCCTGTCCTACAACACGTAGGTTTCGGAATATCATACTGTACACAAAAGGTCTCCCAGGAAATACTGAATGAATGCTTCCTACTTTAGACTAGAGCTATCTCAGCTCAACAATCACATGCCCACAACAAAACAATTCCACAACAAGACCATTAGGAAAAGGTTCCTCTGTGCCACTGTGAGTTCCAGTGGTGCATACTCAAGGTGACCACGACAATATACTCTCAAACAAGTTTACTCCCATTTTAAAAAAGATTTTTAGGAAACTGGCCAGCAATTTAAATCTCAGAAAAGTTGTCACATAATCCTAAAGGCTTGCCATTTCATACTTCAAATAACTGTGATTTTCATACCGCTAAAAATTTAAAAATAAGTTACAAAACAGGGTGGTCTTTCCCTCTAATCAAAAACAACATCCCCCCACCCCCCAAAAAAAAAACCACAACAATAAAACATACCAGCAAGGAACTAGATTCCTCAGTGAAATATGGGAACTGAATTCTCCATTTTTTCTTAAAATGATAGGTAGACAAATTAAAAAAGCTAGGCACATCATTAAAAACTTAGAAAAACATTAAAGCAGACACTAAAACTCAACAAAAACAATTTAAGACCTGTTATAGCTAAAATGTGATTTCCGTGCAAATGTTGGCAGCTATGGCATGTGTGACACAAACTTACCCGCACTTGTACCTCACACCGACAATCTCCAGGTCACAATGGTCGCAGGTGATTCCCTTATGAAGGATGGAGCCTGGAAGAAGGAAAAGTACCCAACACTGTTTTGGTAACATGCAGGAGAAAAACCATTTCACTGCACTATGATTAAGTGGTGAAGCTGCCTGCTTAACAAAACTGCCCCCCCTCCCCCCCAAAAAAATGTATATTAAAAGTCAAGGCCATTTCATGCCCCCCATCAATACAAATTATAAATTATTTAGAAGGCCGGCTTACATTGTGCTTACAGGCTGAGAGGGGTACAACATCCCAGCAGAAAAACCAAGATACTTGATATAAATGCCCACACCTGGAAATCAAACCCCGATCTCCTGCATGCCACGGCAAAATGCCTTATCATTAAACCACAGGCGCTGTGGCGTTCTTCACAAACAAGAAGAGTAATATCAGGTAGCCATAACCCATTTAGTAGGAAACTGTACGACATTTCCTGACAGGGAGGAGACAACATAATGTGAACATACAAGATTTAAAAATAGTTTCAGTAATAACAAAATGCGACCCAGAATTTGTCACAACTTCAAAGTCAGTGTTAATTTCATATGTAGTCTCGGATAGCAGTTAACCTCATGTGTAACCTCAGAGAGTACACAGTTTGTGCTTTGCCTTATCCCCTTTCACAAAACTGTATTGCTTTCATTTTTCCTTACCTGTCTCACCCTTCACATTGCAGAAACGAAACTCAATATCATGGCTCTCCGAGCGAGAGCGAGAAAAACTTTTCTTCAGGAGCTTGTCTGTATGCTTTGTGACATCCTTAACAATGCTTGAGTGCAGGTCTTTCTTCACCTGTGAACATAAGAACATAATTAATCACCCCATGCATTGTCATAATGCCATAAAACTATCATAGCAAACAGAAGTAGGAAAAGAATTTGAAACAAACTGGCCGTAACCGTAAATTACAATTCACAATGCAATTTCTATTTCATCTGGCTACATTTTAATTAAAACAGATATTGAAGCAAGGTCCCATAAAAAAGGACATCTCACTGAACATCGTTGTCATCAATTTTTCACTGTCCTATTGTTAATTCATTTTGGGAGTTTTTTTGTTATTGTTTATTTTCAACTGGGGGAACGTGCAAACAACACCAAATTTGACTCTCTGAAAACCCAGAAATATGACCTCATTTTCATAACTTCCAAAGAGATAAAGTAAGAGTTTTTTCTTTGCTGCAATAAACCACAACTTCAAATATATAATGTGTGGAATCGCAGTGAAAGAAGCGCTTGTCAAACTAATTCAATTGAAGAAACTAAAATTTTGCCACTCAATAGATAACTTTAAAATCTAACTTTTATTTTTATTTTTCTTCGTCACACATCTTTAATGTTCACAGAAAAACATTTCTGTATGGATTTTACTGAAAAATGTTGATAAAAGGCACAAAAGAAGTAAGTTTGCAGTTTCCAAGGAAACTCAAGCTTTGGAAGTCACCATACTTTGGCGTCCATTTCATACTGGCACCTCCTTCAATTGCAAACATCTCAATTTTGTTTCACAATGGACGAGCATTTTTTTTTCACCAAAAGCAAGGTAATTGAACAAGCTCTTTAGCTCTTAAGATTATACCAGTAACTCCATATGCCAAAAATTGACGAGAACCCGATTCCATCATGTCATTACACATACATCCTCGACAAAACTCTTTTTATATGTAACAAAGAGAACATCAGGCAGGCTGTATCAGCATAAAAAAAACAACCCCAGACCAATGCAATTCAAGTGGCCTTGCAGCTGTATCTTTATCAGTCAAACACAATTATCAGCTGTTCCTATCTCTAGCACTGCGCACTATATCCTGCTTACTATCAGCTATAAAAGCAATGAGATGTGAACCCAATATATCTACAGCAGAAAAACCACTGACTCATATATACACATAATTATGGTGCACTGACATTGGCCAGAAATTTACCTTTTTCATATGTTTCAGGAAATCTTCATACTGCAAGGCCATTGTTTCTTTCTTGGAACAATCAAGCATCACAGCTGTCTCTCCAGACTCCTCATCTTTCAGTGGTTCTTTCTCTCCATCTTTCCACTTTTTCTCCTGCTTCTCTGGTACTTTCCGCTTCGTTAAAGATTCCTCAGCTTTCTTTTTGCTCTTCTTCTCCACAACTTTTGGCCTGGCTCCAACACCGAAAGACTCTGCCCTCTGTACTTCAGTTGACTCCTCCTTTTTCACTTCTGCTAGAGGCCTCTTTTGAAGCACTTTAACTTTCTTAGCAGGTAACTGTTTTGGCTTGCTGGCCCTTTTGGCCAACTCTTTCAAAGTGACAGCTCCTTCTTTTGAAGCTCTGGTCTCACCAGCCACAGGGGCAACAGCGCACGAGTCCGCCTGTGTATTAGCTTTGATCTAGAGTGACAGAAAAAAAAGCAAACACAAAGATGATTAAGGATATCTTTACAATGCATACTCCTTGGGAAAGATCTATATCAACATGATAGTATGTAACAAAAATAAATGCACCAACACACAACATTGATCAAGGAGAAAATGCGGTAATATGTATAACCTCTGCATACAGCAACATTTTTACAGTTTTACTAATAATGTTAAAACAGCTAAGGTTTTGTTTTTAAAAAGGTATCAAAATAGCTCAAAATGTTTAATACATGTTTCAAATATGGGTATTCACAAACTATTTATTCCAGTGATGGGTAAGAAAAAAATGTTGGTACTCATAAGATTTGCCACATAATAAACAAAACAGTTTCAAAACTTACCTCGCCATCCATAGAGGCAGCAACTGACCCTCCTCTGGCTAGAATTTCACCTGTTTCTTCAGATGCTGAAGTCGAAGAGGCTCTGTAAAGCATGAATGCAAAAAAAAATTTTTTTTTAAATTCAAAACATGTTTTCACTTGAAAAACTTGACATAAACATAAAATTAATTGTCAAAGTAGGCAAAAAACAATTATAAAACAACACAAGCAGGTCAGTGGGTATTCCACTCTGCAACAAGATCCTAAAAATGATGAGAACTTCACATGGCAAGAACTATGAAGTGAATAATTCTTTTACAACATTCAATGGGTTATAATATTCAACAGGAACAGACAGTGCCAAGTTCCCACTCAGGTCCTCTTAACCCATTGCACCCGAGCCACGAGTATATTCGTAGCAGCCACGCGCTTCTGTCCACCGAGCTACGAGAATGGTCGTAGCAAAATACCAGTCCACAAAATAGAGTCCCAACCAATTATCCACGTTTCTATTGAAAATAATACGTCGCTTGTAGGGTGTAAAAACTTTTGCCAGTTTGTTTTGATCCAGTTTTTCGCCAAAAGTGAGTTCGTTTTGTTGTTTTGTCACTGCAAATCATGGCGAGACAGCGAGCACTGAAATCCTCATGCACGAGAAACAGCTACAAAAAATACAGTGCCACAGCTATTTTTGTGTTTGTCAAAATACATGAACCACCATGTTTTTAGTTTTGATTTTAGCATAAGCTACAAAGAAAGTGAAAGTAGACGTGAAAGTAGACGTGAATCTAGAAAAACAAGGCAATTGGACTGATTTTAGTGTCTTTAAAACTTCGAAGAAAAGCTAGATCTAGACCATAGATTTACTATAAGTTTCTTGGGGTAAATCAAGTGCCAATGAGTCGCAGTCAGACTTACAATATATTGTTTTCTCTGCTCTTTCCTTCATCTTTCTTTCTAATAATATTCAAAGAACATTTTAAGTAAAATCTAAACGTAAGTTAATATTGATAGCTTAAATAGTTTGGGTTCAATATGTGTCGAAGGTTAGTGTGTCGAGTTCATTCAGACCGTTTTTTTCCCCCAACTCACGGCAAGCCAAGTGGACACAAGTGCACTGCTCGCGGCAACGCAGGGTGAATTGGGTTTTAATTAAACACCATCGGGACCGGCCCCACACCAGCTGATCCTATTCCCACATCCCTTGTAAATACTCGTTTCGAGTAACTTTTAATCAACTCAAACTGGCTTCAACTTTGGTGAATTCGAAAAGGAAAGAACTCTTCTGTGCTTGAACAAGCATCAGAAAACATGGATAATTTTGAATAAACATGGACTGGCTTGAATGAGGGGTATCGCCATCACGTAAATACATGTCGGTGGTTTGCGCAGTTCGCGTGTAAGTACGTTGGTGGTCCTGAAGGTGTTAACTAAAGAGCAAGAACACTGAATAAATCTGCAAATTTCAACAAATCTTACCCGCCACTTGCAGCAATCTCTTCCTCTTTGTTAGATGCTGCTCCATGGTACGATTCTGACTCGGATGGCATTTCAATAGCAACTGCATTAGCGCCCGACTGGGCTCCCTCCATCAAAGGCAAATTTCTGGGCATGGGTACTGGGGCGCCATTCTCCACTTTCTTGGGTAATTTAGCCTTGGGAACCACAGCGGAGCAATAGAGGGCTTTGGTAGCAGCCACCTTAGTGACAGCCGATTTGTCCGCCGAAGCACTGCGTCTTGGCTGAGCAAAACTGGACATAGTAGGAGGAGCCTGGGTGAAGGAGGGGTTGCTTGAGGGGCTGCTACTGCTCGGGTCCACAGACGAGGACCGAGGGAACTTGCCATTACTGCCAGGACTTCCTCGAGGTGTATCTATCGGGGTGGGTGTGAGGATCTCCACACTCTGGCCCCTCTTGAAGTTCATGCTAGCCTGTGCTGAGGTCGGGATAGGAGAGGCTCCCTCCACATCAAATGGGTCTTGGTTGGGGATGTTGTTTTGTCCCAGACACGGTTTGTGTGGGCTGGGATCACTGCACAGTGGCTCCACATCTGGCAAGGCGGCAGTACTGCCGTCTCGCTGACTTTGGTGATGGGCCTCAGCGATGCGCTTGAGAAACCGGATTTTCTCCTCGGGGCTCAGGTTAGCCGCCTGGTCCCACAAGTTCAGGCTTGACTGCTGAGGAGGAGGTGGAGCAGACGGTACTTGACCACGACAGGTCAATGTTTCTTCAGGGGTGCTGGGCACAGACGCTTCTGTCAAGGGTTCTGACGGCACTTCTGTTGGGACCAACGCTTCAACCATGGGCATCGCTGGGGTGATCCTATAAGCAGGAATTGTTGCCGATACTGGAACCAAAGGAGCTGCTGGCAAAAGAGGAGTTGCTGGCAAGCAGTTTTGTGAGCTGTGGGTCGGGTAGACCAGAGGTGCCTGTTCAGCGGGGTAGGGGTATCGCAACATGGGTGCAACATCACCTCCTGGGTCTGTGGTTGGTACGTATGTCACAAACTGGGATTCACTTTGCAAATTAATTCCCAGATCTCCCCCAGGACGATGTTCGACCATACTGTTTTGGGATGATCGGTCAGACATGGGCCCAGCGTCTATACATTCATCTTGCAAATCTATCAGTCTCCCACTGTCTACTCGACGCACCTGCAGCTGCAGGATCTCCCCAGACCTGCTTGTGAACTGTTGGAAAATCAAAAAGGAAAGGCAAAATATAAAAATGTACCCTTGGGTCATTAAGATTTCTGCGGTTATAAGAATTTCATAGTTTATTTCCTTTTTTTTTTTTTAGAATATTCTCAATGTTCTCTAAACAAACTTTCGTAACATCATGATTTCCTGCTTTTCAGTTGTCAATTCACCATCCACAAGTAAAGGCCAATACTTAACACTCAGGAAAATTACAAAAAAAGGAACTTTGGTACCATTCTGGTGCGACTTTTTTCAGTACCCAATATGGTTCACTTTGCTGACAGCATCTATAATAATGAAATTCTTTCTAAAGCATAATATCCGCAATATGACATGACTGACTGTAGTAAATCAACAAATAGTTTAAATTAGAAGTCAAAGGAAATAAAATGTACATTTCATGAAAAAGCAAGTTGCAAAACTTTCAGTTGTAGCCCCACAACTATAAAAGGCAATTATAATAATTGCAACATCTTAAAAAATGAAGGAAGTAAAACTTATTTTACCACCAGCCTCCTGAATTTTATATCTAAACCTGGGACAGGCATAAAAGATAATTTGTTATATAAGAGAAAATTCATAACTTCAGTTGCATAATAATCTATAAACTTTAAGATTTAAGAAAAAGGCTACAGTAATCTAGTGACAAGTGTAGTGTAGGTGGGTTTTTTAAACCATTCTGTAAAATAACAAAACTTCAATTGGAAAATCTGACTTAAGTGTTCAACTTTAATATTTATTCTATCAAATATCTTTCTGTAATTTCCCCAAATTATGAGATATTTGATAGATAAATAAAAGTCCTCAGAAAACATCCTTAAAAGTGTACCTTAAGAGCTTCTTGTAGCTCTGCATCACTTCCAAGCTCAACCTGGAATCCAAAGAAAGGATTATTGATCAAATTACAAGTACATTTTTTTCAGGCCTTTTGGCTAATGAAAAATGGTAAGGAGCACCACTGTACGAATCTCTAACCATGAGAAAACAGAAGATTTAAAAGCATAAATTAAAAGAAATGATACTTTATTACTTTAAAATTCACATTATCATGGTCTCCATGGATGTAACATGACAATAATTCGTTTAAGTTAGTTTTACTTTGACCCTTGACATTAACAGTCAGTTCCTATTGAAAAATGACGGGTAAAAATTAAAAACATCCGTACACATCTTATAAGAAATTTAAATTTTCACAAAATTGTTCTTTTCCTCGTATGAGTTTTACAGCACTTGCAACACAATAAGGTCATATATAAGTGCTGAAGAATGGATGTGTTACAAGAGAGTAACATACACAAAAAAGAACGGGGAGCCATCACAAAATTTTAAATACCATTGACTTGGCAATACTAAAATTATTGGAAAAACAACTTGCAGCACACAAAATCTCTTTTGCATAGATTAAAGAGTTAGGTACAAAGAGAAAAAAGGAAAAAACAACAACCCAAACAATCATCACCAGAAACTCTGAACAGCTAATCTACTGTTCTGCGTAAGACAGTTCTGTCATATGTCACTTTTAAAAATGGCGAATGACGGGAGTTTTACATGAGCAGTTGAAATAAACTTCTAATAAAATTGAAAGCAATGGAAGTCTAAAACAGCTTGCTTTACCCAGTCTCCTTCATCATCCATGTACTTTACTCTGACAGCTTCTGGAGGCTGAGTATATAGACTCTTCAGCTGTAAAAGAACAAAGTAACGACATAAGAAATGAACATGTACATTGTATGAAGCCAAATTTTATTTTCAACAGCAGAAAGTGTCACATCAAAGTCTTACAGCCTCATATAAAGCACAGCAGAAGGCAAACGTCCCTTCATGATCACTGTTCAGTCACAGTCACAAAGCTGTAATTCTATAATTGGTCACTTTTAAGGACAAGCGGGCTAACCCAGATTTCCAGGGTTTCCAGAAATCTTTACCTGCACCAAAAGTGGATATAGCCCTACCTATAGGAGAAGTTTGGTTCATTGAATTGGTGTGTATTTTTGGTTATAGAGAAAACTCTCCTTATCCTTTAAAGAAACTGAACAAGGGCCAAAAACTTTACCTTTGATTTTCTCAAAACAATATTTTTCAGGATAGCCCCCTTGTGCTTAAAAGCGACCAATTATGCCTCTATGAAGCAATGCCAATCGGGCTTCTGCGAGTAGCGAAATTTTTATCCCCGTTTGCGGGTGAATTTTTGGACCGGGTCGGAACGTAAGTGACTAACTTTCTCAAACTTGGTCTGCTCTATTTTTGGACCAATGTGAATGAATTTTAGCAACCAATCAAAAATAGGGCAAACTAATGATACTGGGACTTTGAAGTTTGTACACATAAATTAACCTATACTTTTGGTGTCGGAAACACTTTCATATCGGGAATACCGAAAACTATAAGGAGCTTGATTTTCAACGTCGAGAATGTAAGAGATCTATTTTTCCTCTAGAGTGTCCTCAACTTTGAACGTTCTGTGTCAAGTAGTTGTTTAGACCCTATCATAAAAGTACCACTACCCCCCTGTCCAAAGCGGCTTCACACAGAGACCGGCCATTTTCCCCTCACTCCCTCGGCAAATGTATGTGACCTAAAATCCCTGCATGACTATTTCGAGCCAGTTCATTGATCACTTGAAATAGGGCATTGGCGGATGGGCGCATCCGGTTGTTTCTCTCTATTCGCCTGTAACATCGCAAAGGGAGTATTCCGAGGAGAGTTTATCTTGCCTAAGAGTGTTTACGTTAATGGGGAAAAAAGGTTCTTTAAATGTACGGCATGCTAGATAGAATTAAATTATAATGGTTGGCATGGTCTAAAGTTTGGTTGGAATTTTACAGCACTCGCAACTGCAAAAAGTATTAGTGTAAGGGACACAATTAAGTTGTTTTCATGTTATTTCATAGCTTGGTTTCACATTGCAAGTCGAAATGGTTGAAGTATCTAAAAATATAGGCCTCCACCTACATACATTAAAAATTCATTTTGTAAAGCTTTTTAAAATTATCTCCCCATAAGGGGGCAAGTCCACTGGCATTTTCGTCAGTTGCAGGCCAGGCTCACATGCAAATATGAGCTCGTTTTCACCAGTCACTGACTTTCTTTGCCTGACTACGTGGTTTTCTTGCTTGCACATTTTTTAGTCAGTCGAGCAGGTGATTAAGTAAGCCTCGATTCGACTCATTTTGGAAGGAAATTTGCATCTTTGTAAGTATATTTTTGCTTCCTCATTGCACTTTACATTATCCATAAAGTAGTATTATATTATTATGTTGTACAGTAGTAGATTTGTGTTGAAAAACAGCAAAATAATGGAATTAAAACACTTGACCTAGATTATTTTGTGCTCGAGAACTAAAAATAGGTTAGACCTAGCCTTCGCACAATACCTAGATCACCCCACTCGAATGAGCTAAAATGTATACCAGTGATAGAACGTTAAAAAAAAAACGAAGTGATGATTTCTCCGAACCCTCGGGAAAATAAACTTGACCTCTATTTCTCCAAACAGTTTCCGTTTTCGAGATTTTTTGGTTATTAGCGAAAGTTCGGCGTCATCTTTCATTCTGTCATTCTCTGCGAGGACTGGGAAAAAGCATTTTTTTGCATCGAATTCAATTTCTAGAGCTAGAGATTGTTAGATGTCTGAATATTCAGATACTTCAATTGTGGTTGGGGAAATGTTTCCGGACTATACTTCATTTGAAAATGCGTTCCAAAGGTAATGCTAGAAAACATGACTGCTCGACTTAAGCAATGATCTATTTTGCATTTAGTCACCCCTAAAGCACAAACTAAATCACACAAAAATCCCCCCCACGGAGCGCGCGCAGGCCACTCCATTCGAAAATAGCCAAAAAATCTCGAGAGCGGAATCCGTACAAAGAAATAGAGTTAAAGTTTATTTTCCCCGAGCTCTGAGAAATAGAGCCGGCCAAAAAAAGAGGCAGTCTTGTCTACACCTATACACACTATTCACTATACTTATGTCTCTATAGATCTACACACTAGAATAGAAACAATGCTGAAATTGTAAATAAATAAATAAACCGCCTGTGCCGGTGTTGTCTGTTGTTCTCGCAATCATAATACACTGGGCTAAAAATATGTTTAGCTGATTTGACGCAGTGGACGTAGATCATCTTGAATCGGTTCTACACCATGCAAAAACGTTGTACACAAGCCTGGCCTGGAAGTAATCTTATTTTGGTGGACACGTAGACTAAAGATGGCCCCTGCCTTGCCTTTAAATGAAATTTTTAAAATTCTGTAGACTAAGGATCAATGATAAAGTTAGAGAACAGATCTTTAGAATAGTACATCACAACACTTCCTTCGAGTCTCTCTTCCAAGATCTGGACATTCTATTTGAATGATTGTAGTGTCAATTGTCACCGAGTGACGCGGTGACAATTCAAGCCAGCGTCAATTGCCACAGAGTAAATTGGAGCTGTTCTGAGTTGGTGAGTAGATCTAGCCTATGTGTGCTCGGTGTTCTGCGATCATGAACTTCCGCTTACGCATGCCTCTCTGTCCCTCTGTGCGTGTGTGTGGGGGGTTGTCTCTCTCTCTCTCCCTAACCGCTGTCCCCCTGATTTATGTTCCCAATAAAGCTTAAATTTCTGCTTGAGTTTGTGGCCTACTTCAAGAATCGGTTCTACACCGAAGCGTTGGCTAGCCTACGTCTCATTCAAAACAGTCCAAGTTGAAGTTGGTCCAGTAGCTCTAGATCTAGATGTTCGTCCACTAAAATTCACTTAGACATAAGGAGCTCAAAAGGATAGCCGGGAAACAAGACTTCCATATTACTGTACACAAAATCTTTCAAATGAAATTTAATTTATATCATGCAAAATTATATTACCTGATAAAAATAAGTTTATAGATAGTTCTGAATACCATTGTGCAGGTAACAAGAAGAATTTGAGTGCAAAACATTCGGAAATTGACCTATGAGCCATTGCCAAAACGTGGGGAAAAACACACACATCTCACATTAGTGTGCATAAAATGTGATGCATTAGTATTTATTCCTCCAAAACTTATACACATGTCAAATATAGGATGTAGAACCTGCATTAGCAGTTTCAGACCCCATGTCAGCTTTACAATCTTGAGTTTGTAAATTTTGTGCAAAAAAATGTTCCGTTTTTTAGTGATTCCTGGAGTATCATTTTAAGCACACCAACGCAAACTTCCAAGAATGTCCAAAACTTAGTATTTTTGGGTGGTTTTTTTTTTACGTGTGCTTTGATCCTATGCTATTTGTCATCGAGAAAGGTTAACTTGCTCAAGAAATCGGTTTATTTGTTTGCAAATAAACGAACAATTCGGATCACTTGTGCGTCAGTTGTGTCGTCACGGACTAGGTGTTACAGAAAACACCATTATTTTTCAGTAGAATCACCACAGCTGGTTAAATCTTTTTGCTTTTCGTCGTTTATTCAATACTTCAAAAGCCGCAATGCGCGAAAGGAACATCGGGTTCCTAGATCTATGATTTCAGTCGGCTGTTTAACATTCGCCGTGAATGTCGTCACCTTGCGACGAGCCGGAAGTCCGAATTTCGCCCACTTTTGTTTTGAACGGGTCATCAACAGTGCCCGGATATAATTGTTTTCTTGAGTGACTTCCCCTTACCCGCTTCCCTAGAACAATGGAAGCAACGGGGGAAACAGAAAAACGAAAGTAGTCATTGCCTTCAGCGTCCGGTGACGCACAAAAATCTTTCGTTGAATGTGACGTACTGGACTGTTTTCTGTGTTTTTAGGCTACTCTGTTGAATATTTTAGTGAAATTGCGGTGTTTACACTGGATTCCTGGAACAAGAGTGTGATGTGTGAACATAAACTTCGAGAGACGGATCATTTCTGTGGTTATAGATTTAGCTTTTGTGCTTAGTGATGACATTTGGGGTGTCGTCATGCAGGTTGTACAAGACTGACTTACGTACTAGAAATTACATCGTCCTAAGAGCAAACATTTTTTAAGTCATGTGTGCTCTCTTTACTCAAACAAATAAACAAACATGTCCTTGTTTATCTGTCTAACTCAAAAATACACATTTGTTCTTTGTTGGTATGATATGCCTTTTTCCAATACATTGTGTCATCATTGTTATGTACAAGTAATATTTGTCATCATTGCTAATATCAATAAGTTTTCAACATATATTTCATACATGCAAGATTCATTTAGAAGCGAAATATGCCTTTATTGATCTGTGTATCTCTTAGTGCAAACTTGTTCTTTGTAGGTATGATTATACCTTTTCCCAGTATGTTTTGTCATCACTGTTATGTACGAGTACTGTTTGTCATAATTAGCAACATACTTGTGATCGTCCACTGTCTTTGATAGAACCTGATATCTGTTTCAAAGCAAAAGAAACCTCTCCTGTTTGTTTTTTTTTATTCTTAAAGTGTGCATTTCTCTCTGGAGGCATGACTTTGTCTTTTCCTGTACATTGTGTCATCACTGTTAGTTATGTACAAGTCATGTTTGTCATCACTGTTATGTACAAGTCAGCTCCATTGATTTTGTGCTTTTGCCTCATATTAGTTTAAAAATTGTTTTACACATGTGTTTTTCTGGTACTGAGGCTTTGATAACTGTATTTGTACAGCCTTTAACTATTGTAATGTGTTGTCAATGACAATGTCCAATGTGTATCCTTTCTTGATATAAACAATGATGACATGTTCTGTGCACTGCGCCATTGTTACAAAGCTTGTCATTCATATTACCATTATGAATGGAGTTCATAGTGTACGAAGTCTTTGTTTACTAAACAAATTGAATTTAAAGTAAATTTGCCTTGCTGCTTATCTGTTTTTGTCATCACTGTTACATACAAGAAATACAGTAACTTAGTTGCCAAACCAATAGACCCATATCTCCAAACCCTACATCTCCTTGCTCTGATACTCTAGGAATATGAGCACTAAATGTCAATCTGTGACTGACAGCAAAGAGAGTCCAATTGTTAAGAAAAAATTGTTTGCACCACTGAGTCTCACGTTTTGGCAATTGCTCCTATACTAAGTTCCTTTCGAATCCAAGAATGTGTGTAACTACTCGTTATGACTTATCAACTTATGAGAGGGGGTTAGATCTATAACTTATTCATGTATTCGTAACACATTACGAATAGAAAGCTAAAGATGTTGTTTGTTTTCAGACTAAAAACCGCTTCACTCAGTGGAAATTGACACGAGCCCTTGTTTGTGTGTGTGTGTGTGTGTGTGTGTGTGTGTGTGTGTGTC